AAAAAAAATCCATGATTTTTTCTACTAATAATTTACCATATGATTATAATAAACCAAATTATCAAACCTAATCAAATTATTATTTATAAGTAACAAGAAATAAAATATACGATAAGAATTAGAAATTACCTTCTTAATTAGAGAACTGAAATTGTCTCGAATCTCGAAACGATATCTTAATTGAAAATTAACCTTGTCGACAAGTAAAAATAGCTACGCATTATCTTGGTGATTAGTGAATAGTCAATTAACAAAAGTTATTTATGAAGAAATGAAAATATAATCAACTGCTAATTAAAATAAGGAGTAAATTACACGAATGGTCCCTATGATTTGGGGTAATTTGCACGTTTGGTCCCTAACTTATTTTTTTAACTCGGAAGGTCCCTACTGTTTGTTATTGCTACACATTTGGTCCCTATTGTTTGTTTTTGTTACGCATTTGGTCCCTAAGATAGGTAAAAAGATAATTATTTAAATAGAGAAAAATGATAGAGTAGGTAAGGTAAGGAGAGAGGATGAGATTGAGGGTGTGTTTATTTAAATAAATTAAAAAATCAAGGGAAAAATAGATTTTTTATGTAAGACAGGGACCAAGCGTGTAACAAAAACAAACAGTAGGAACCTTCCGGGTTAGAAAAATAAGTTAGAAACCAAACGCACAAGTTACTGTAAACCATGGGAATCATTCGTGTAATTTACCCTAAAATAAGATAAATAGGTGGAGGCGGTAGGATTTAATATTCATATCCTCATTTTTTTTTTTTTTTTTTTTTTTAATTTTTTTTTATAACAAATAAATGGGTTTTTAATATAATTAGGAAGGGCTATAAGGTTCAGTTAATTAACAATGGCTTAAAGGTTACTAATGGACTCATTTTATTTGTAATTTTGCTAAAGTTTGATAAGAGATTAGGGGGGGCTAAGCACCCGACCCTATTGTCTACGTCTCATTTTTTCACCTTATTGGGATTTAATATTTAAAAAGGCTAAAATGTGTTTTTTTTTTTTTCATAAATATGGGGATTTTTATTAATATTTTCTTTCATAGAGGCATTTTTTTTTCCTCCTTTGCCTAGACTCAAAATTTATTTGACTAACCATATAAAAAAAAATATGAATATAGCATAAACAAAATAGGGACAAATAACCTAATTTCAAATCATAGTATGAAATAAATAATCAACAATAAAAAATAAAAAATAAAAACAATCCAAACATAAAAGTCATCATCACAATGGACAAGAAATAAGTTAGCTAAGTGTCACATTTATATAAGAATAAGAAGAAACACAATAAAAACGAAAGTGATTTTTAATGAATATGAGATAATCTATATTTTATAGGGTAAATTACACAAGTCGTCCTTGGTGCAGGTGCTAAAAAGCGTCTTTAGTCCCTATTTTAAAAAATTAACTCGGATCGTCCCTAATTTGTTTAAAACTTGCACGCTTCGTCCCTGATATGTGTTTTTGTTGCAAATGTAGTCCACACCATATTTGAAATGACCATTATGCCCTTGGATATTTATTTTTAATTAATCTACTATTATTTATTAATAATAAATGAAATAAAAACAAGTCTCCCAAATATCTATCTCTCTCATACGCCAGAAAATACCACAACCACTAATCTCTCTCTCTCTCTCTCTCTCTCTCTCTCCTACACTCATCCTCCTCCATAGTTTCACTCTCTTCTCCATTTTCACACGAAGGACAGTGATGGGTATTTCATTCTGGAATCTCGACCTTCTCTTCCGTGATGAACAACCTCCCATCGTCTGTGTAATATCGTTTCATCACCATCGACGTTTGAACTGGTGACGATAGACGAAGTTCCTTTGTTTATTTCCAATCACTGATGATCTAGTACTGTAACGACCCAATTTTCATGTCCAAAAATTTTATTTTTAAATATTACTTTAGAAAACATTAATAAATAAAAACATTGTTTGATCACAACATAACACATCGCAAACCATGTTTTAAAAGTCAAACCATACATCCCATCAAATATCAGAGTACAATCCCAGTGAATCTCGTAAATGCGGAAAACGAAGAGTGTGTGTGTGACATGCTGCTACCGCGCCTGCTCTTTTCCCCTGGCTGAGGAGGTACCTGAAACCAAAACTGAAACCGTAAGCACAAAGCTTAGTGAGCTCCCCCATACCATACAAGCATTTAACATATAACATGCAATTAGGAGATACGGGCCTCGCCCACACTCGTGAAGATACGGGCCCCGCCCACACCTCACTTTCTGAGAGATACGGGCCCCGCCCACACTCGTAAAGATACGGGCCCCGCCCACACTTCGCTACCTGGGAGATAAGGGTCTAGCCCACACTCCATTCTCGGAGAGATACGAGCCCCACCCACACTCAACCGCCAACTCATATCATACAAGCATCGCACAGACAACAAGTGTAAACAGTTCTATCATGCTGGTATATAACACAATCAACTCAACTAATAGATACGGGCTCGGCCCACACTATAATACTAACGTCTCATCTATACGGGCCGGCCTTGGTGCCTTAGACCCGTTACTACTGGAAGGAAACTCACCTCGAAATAGCTGCTGGTCTGTGTGGGAATTGATCACCTACTACTACTGCTGCTGCTCCGGAAACTCCCCGGCTGTAATTCCCACAATATACTTAATCATACACTGCTAACTGTCCTTTGGGTAAAAAGACCATTTTACCCCTGGTCTAGCCCTAAGTCAAATCGAAGTCAACTTTTAGTTGACCCAACTCGCCGAGTGGATCTCCACTCGCCGAGTCCCTAGCAAACTATTGTCCTGGGTCCCTGATTCTACTCGTCGAGTTGGGCTATGACTCGACGAGTTCATCTTCTAAACTGTCATTCAACTCCTTCATCCTACTCGCCGAGTTGTATGAACAACTCGTAGAGTTCATCTTCATCCGAAGAACACATATGCTAAGACTTGCCGAGTTGTATGAACAACTCGCCGAGTTTGTTCTTGATCTATGAAGATTGCCTTGGACTCGCCGAGTCAGGGCATTGACTCGCCGAGTCCTATCATGAGTGAGTTCAGCTTCCAACTCACCGAGTCAACCCCTGTGACTCACGGCTCAACTCGATACATCTTAAAGGGACCAGTTCAGTGACTTGCGACCAGACTTGTCGAGTCACATATATGACTCGCCGAGTCGCAGCCATGCATCCATCAAATACACCGATTTGCTCGATTCCAGTCCATGCCATTCACAGATCTGGGCTTATAGGACACAATTCACACGTAAAGTTTCCAACTTTACGTGTAGATATTCACTAATATGGATTTTAAGGCTCAAAGTGCACCAAAAGAGGTAGATCTAGGGCTTTCATGCCATATGACCCCATAAAGGCAATAGATCCAAGCTCCAGGGACTAAATCATGCCTAGATCTAAAGGCTAACAACTTATTATCACCCACAAAGCACAAACAAGCTTGGGGAAGAGCCCAAGAAGGACTCCAATGAAGCAATAAGGGATTACAAGCTTGAAAACAGAGGGGAAACGAGCTATACCTCAAGGAATATGTTGAAATGACACAAAGATGCCTGATCTCCTTCCCCCTCTTCTTGATCTACACCTCTTTCTCCTCAAAACCTTCAAGAACACACCAAGAGCACTTCAATCTCTCAAGGAAATAAGGGAAAAACGATGTTGGGGAGTTCTGGGGGGGTGAATGGGGACGAGTTGGGGCGGAATGAGGGTTTAAATAGGGTGCAAACCCTTGAAACTTAGGGTTTCATCCAGCAGCGGTGACTCGCCGAGTCCAGGATATGGACTCACCGAGTCGCCCACTTAAACGTGTCCTGAGTCTCGTCCCTACTCGGCGAGTCGGACCTTATGACTCGCCGAGTCCAAGGCTAAAATAGGGCAATGCTCAAATAAAATTCACATACCAGAAACCAGGTGCTACAAGTACTCATCCCCCATCGTTTTTGATTCTTCGATTGATGATCACCACCTGATAATAGTGCCGCAGTCTTCGTCTCCAAATCAACACAACTCTCCACGACTAGGGTTTTGACATATCCAATCAATGGCGGCTAGGGTTTCGACATATGCGTCGAGCTCCACAACTGCCACCGACGGCGGCTAGGGTTTCAATCTTTCCTGCATCATTGCAAATTGGCAGAGATATGGAGATCATCAAGCTCCACAGTTGCAATCGAATCTAGCGTGAAGGTGACAGGTGGATCAATCGCAGATGTATGTTTTTCTATCACCCACCTTTCGCCCCTGTATCTCTCAATCAGAGATTCTTATTCACCATTCTTCTTTCTTTTGAGTTACAAGTTTGATCATGTAAAGATCAGCAAATAAAGTAAGGTAGGTGATGGTCCCGCTGGTAGTTTTTGTGGAGATTGGTGGCTGTGATTAGTGATAATGGTGGTTTTCTGTGAAATCGATGGTCGTTTTTGTGAGATTAGGGTTATGGATAAGGCGCTAAACAGGGGAATAGCTAGCGATGATAGGTGGTGGTGCCGGAAGAGCTGGTGGTGATAGGTGGTGGTGGGTTCGAAGAATCTTGTTGCAGGAAATGAAAAGGAGAGGGGCGGGGATATTTGTTTTCTTATTATTTTTTTTTCTATTTAAAACTAATAAATAAATAAAACAAAATAAAAAAAAGAAATTATTAAGGGTAAAATAGTCATTTTATGGTAATAGGGACTAAACGTGCAAGTTTTAAACAAACGAGGGACTGTTCGAGTTAATTATTTAAAATAGGGACTAAACACGATTTTTGGCACCTCCACGAGGGACAACTGGTGTAATTTACCCTATTTTATATATTAAAAGCTTTTCTATATTTATTTACTTTTGATAACTATTTTTTCCCATTAAACCCTCTTTTGCTTAGGGTAACATTTTTTTTTTATCGTTATGGGGAAATGTATATTATTTAATATAATATATAATATATAAATAATATACTATAACTTTATAGAAGAAACCGACACAAAAGTAATTATTTATTGACAAATTTAATCAATTTAGGAAAGGAAGCGTTAGTTAAGAAGAAGAGTAGATTCGAAATGAAGTTAAGAGCTTTTCGTGCGTGGGTTGAATTTACAGGCGATACGCGTTTAGTATCAATTCAGATCAAATCTCAATCTCATTAATGAAATTGATTCCCAGATGGGATCATCTATCGTCAATCTCCCATCTTCAACAACAACATCAACATCAAAACCAAAATCAAGATCTTCATCTTCTTCTTTAGCTCATTGCATTTGAGAATTCTTCCTGCCATCAACAGCAATGTCGTCGGGGTCTCAAACCCTAGGCGGCCAATCCCGCTGCGGATGGTTACTGGGGCCATCACTCGACAAGATCATAAAAAATGCTGCCTGGCGCAAACACTCTCACATCGTCGCTGCCTGCAAATCCGCCCTCGACAAGCTCGAAACCCTCACCGACGATTCTTCCTCATCAACTCCTCTATACGGCGTCTCCTCCGTCTCCGACGCTGAATCCTTCATCCTTCCCCTCATCCTAGCCATTGATTCATCTTCTCCTAAAGTCGTCGAACCCGCCCTCGACTGTTGCTTCCGTCTTTTCTCCCTCCGCCTCATCCGCTGCGAGATCGACCCCTCTGAACAACCCCCCTCCCTCATATTCCGTCTCATTGATTCTATATGCAAGTGCAGTGGTCTCGGCGAAGAGGCTGTTGAGCTCGCAGTCCTCAAAACTTTGCTCTCAGCCGTTCGATCATCTACTGTTTTGATCCGGGCCGAATGCCTTAACCAGATTGTGAAGACATGCTATAATATATATCTTGGAGGTGTCAATGGAACTAACCAGATCTGTGCAAAGTCGGTGTTGGCTCAGATGATGGCTATCATATTCGCTAGGGTAGAAGGGGATTCCCTGCTAGTCACCTTCAATACAGTATCCGTTACCGAGCTGTTAGAGTTCAATGATAGAAATCTTAATGAGGGGAGTTCTATACAGTTTGTTCAGAACTTCATTAACGAGGTTGTTTTCACTAACGTAGTTGATGCTGATCTTAATGCAAAATCCTTGCCTGAACTGCAAGACGGTAATGCCAGTGAAAAAGCTGAGTCTCCGCATGCTGAATTGCCAGATAAGGAGGATTTGAGTGGTTATTCTAAGATAAGGGATGATGGGGTCATGGTTTTCAAGAATTTATGCAAGCTGTCGATGAAATTCTCTTCTCAGGACCAATCTGACGATCAGATCCTTTTGAGGGGAAAGATGTTGTCTCTGGAGCTATTGAAGGTAATCATGGACAATGCAGGTCCACTATGGCGTACAAACGAGAGGCAAGTAACTGCATGTCTCTTAAATCGACACCTTTTGATGTTTAGATAAATGTCTGTATACCTCTTAACACTCTTAAGATTGCCTGATAACTTCATGTCATCAGAACAAATATATGTTGCTTTGACAATGCCATTTTCATAAGTTCAATTAGTACCTTGAGTCAGTAAGGTATAGGACAAGAAATTCAACCACCAAGCTGTAGACTTTTTCATGCCTTTAATCGAAAAGGAACTAAAACTGTATGTAAAAGCTCTAAAATATCAATATTCTATTATATTAATCAGTTATCTTGAATGTAACCTCCAGTTGCTTGTTTTTTATACTTCTATTTTATTTTACTTTCCAGCAATAATTTAAACATATAAACTTTCTTAGGCTTGATGATTGCAATCTCTTACTTCACAGGTTCCTAAACGTGATCAAACAGTTCCTTTGCTTGTCCTTACTGAAGAACAGTGCACTTTCAGTCATGTCAATATTTCAGCTTCTCTGTGCAATATTTCAGAGCTTACTAAGCAAATACAGATCTGTGTTGAAATCAGAAATCGGGATATTTTTCCCCATGCTCATTCTCCGTGTTCTTGAAAATGTCCTTCAGCCAAGTTTCATACAAAAGATGACAATCCTTAATTTACTGGATAAAGTATCTCAGGATTCACAGATTATGATCGACATTTTTGTCAACTATGATTGTGATGTTGACTCCCCAAACATTTTTGAAAGGTAACAAACCGGTTAAAGTTTCTAAAGCATCTCATGTTATCATGTTTTGCTATTTTTCAAAACATAATGTTTTAACAACATTAAAATGGAAAATACAATATTTAAACCTTGTTAATTCGGTCAGACATTTGCAGGACTGTGAATGGTCTTCTGAAAACTGCTCTAGGTCCACCACCTGGTTCCACAACCACCTTGTCTCCTGTTCATGATCTGACATTCAGATTTGAATCTGTTAAATGTTTGGTTATGATCATCAAATCAATGGGAGTTTGGATGGATCAACAGCTAAGAATAGGTGAATTTGGTGTAAAGAACAACACATCTGATAATAATGATAGTGTTCTTGAAAGTAGCATGAGTGTAGGAGGAGATGATGTAAGTCTTCCTGATTTGGATTTGCATCAAGAACCAAATTCTGAACATTCCACTGCTACATTAGAGCAACGAAGAGCTTACAAGATAGAACTTCAGGTATAAATATAACTTATCTTAAAATTAGGGTTTTTACTTTTTATGCACTAAAACTATAACCTTGAATGATACTGCAGAAAGGTATTGCTCTGTTCAATAGGAAGCCTTCGAAGGGTATTGAGTTTTTGATAAGTAACAAGAAAGTTGAAGGGACACCTGAATCAGTTGCAATGTTTTTGAAAAACACTTCTGGTTTAAATGAGACAATGATTGGTGATTATCTTGGTGAAAGGGAGGATTTCTCTTTAAAAGTAATGCATGCTTATGTGGATTCCTTTAATTTTGATGGAAGGGATTTTGGTGAGGCTCTTAGGTTTTTTCTAAGGGGTTTCAGATTACCTGGTGAGGCTCAAAAAATTGACAGAATCATGGAAAAATTTGCTGAAAGATATTGTAAGTGCAACCCTAATTCCTTCACTAGTGCTGACACAGCATATGTTCTTGCATATTCTGTGATTATGCTCAATACGGATGCCCATAACAGCATGGTGAAAGATAAGGTCAGGATTTCAATTTTCAAATTTCAATTTCAACCTTTTATTTATTCCCAGTTTATAAATATATATATTTTCTGATTTTGATGCTTTGGTTTGTTTATATGAAAGATGAGTAAAGCTGATTTTATTCGGAACAACCGTGGGATTGATGATGGAAAGGACTTAGCTGAAGAGTATTTGGGTGCTCTTTATGATCAAATTGTGAAAAATGAAATTAAGATGAAAGCAGATGCTTCATCAATACCACAAAGCAAACAGACAAACAGTGTTAATAAATTATTAGGGTTGGATGGTATACTTAATCTTGTTTGGAAACAAACCGAGGAAAAGCCACTGGGTGCAAATGGAGCTCTTATTAGACACATCCAAGAACAATTCAAGGCAAAATCAGGAAAATCAGAGTAAGTTTGCTGATTCCGATGGAATTGGAATTTGCTATTCCATTCCATTCTGATTTCTTTGTATGTTTGTGTCTGCAGATCTACTTACTATGCTGTAGCAGATGCAGCCATATTGAGGTTTATGGTGGAAGTCTGTTGGGGCCCAATGCTTGCTGCCTTCAGTGTAACACTTGACCAGAGTGATGACAGGGCAGCAACTAATCATTGCTTACATGGCATTCGCCATGCTGTGCATGTGACAGCTGTCATGGGTATGCAAACACAAAGAGATGCATTAGTCACAACTGTTGCCAAGTTCACATACCTTCATTGTGCTGCAGATATGAAGCAAAAAAATGTCGATGCTGTCAAGGTATTCACCTATTCGGTATTCCCTTTCTTTTTTCTTATTTTCCAAAAATCTTTAAACTGACATTTTAAATTTAAAAAAAAAAATATTGGTAGACAATAATAGCAATCGCAATAGAAGACGGGAACTATCTTCAAGATTCATGGGAACACATACTGACATGCCTATCTAGATTCGAGCATTTACAGCTATTAGGAGAAGGTGCTCCATCTGATGCATCTTTTTTAAGTGGATCAAACATTGAAATAGAAGAGAAATCTGTAAAGTCCAATTTCACATCCTTGAAAAAGAAAGGAACCCTTCAAAATCCAGTTGTAATGGCTGTTGTTCGAGGCAGTTCTTATGACAGCACTTCTTCCAATAATCACACATCAGGATTAGTAACCCCAGATCAAATCAACAACTTCATTTCCAACTTAAACCTTCTTGAACAAATTGGGAATTTCGAGCTTAATCACATCTTTGCTCATAGCCAGAGACTAGATAGTGAAGCTATTGTAGCTTTTGTGAAAGCTCTTTGTAAAGTTTCCATGACAGAGTTGCAGTCTGTTACAGATCCTCGGGTGTTCAGTCTCACTAAAATAGTTGAAGTTGCGTAAGATCCTATCCTTGTTCTTTTTCTTTTTTCTTTTCTATTTTTCTTTTCAATGTCTAAATAAGTAATTTCACACCTTATGATTTGGATTTTTTTCAGGCACTACAACATGAACCGAATCAGATTAGTGTGGTCTCGCATATGGAGCGTGCTTTCAGACTTCTTTGTTTCAGTTGGTTTATCAGAAAACCTTTCAGTTGCCATTTTTGTCATGGATTCCTTACGCCAACTTTCCATGAAATTTCTTGAACGCGAAGAATTGGCAAATTACAATTTCCAGAATGAGTTTTTAAGGCCTTTTGTCATTGTCATGCAGAAAAGCAACTCTGTTGAAATCAGAGAACTCATTGTTCGTTGCCTCTCACAAATGATCCTCAGCAGGGTCGATAACGTAAAATCCGGTTGGAAAAGCGTTTTCATGGTAAGTCAAAGTCAAATTTAAAAAACTAACTTTGGAAAAACTGAAAAAGTGAAAGTTTATTTGAAATGTATATATATGTGATTATATAGGCATTAACAGCAGCTGGAGCTGATGAAAGGAAGAACATTGTGTTGTTAGCATTTGAGACAATGGAGAAAATAGTACGCGAATATTTCCCTTACATAACCGAAACCGAAACTGCTACTTTCACTGATTGTGTGAGATGCCTCATCACCTTCACTAACAGCAGATTCAACAGTGATGTAAGCCTCAACGCCATTGCTTTTCTTCGATTCTGTGCTGTGAAACTTGCAGAAGGTGGACTTATCTGCAATCAAGAAACTGTTCCTATTGATGATGATTCAACTTCAAGCATTCAAGTGGTTAAAGAAACTGCTGAAACCGATGGACAAACTCCCATGGAGAAAGATGAACATGCATCCTATTGGATCCCTTTACTCAGTGGTAACTAACTAACCAACTAACTAACTAACTAACTAACTAACTAACTAACTAACTTACTTACTTACTTTCCTAATCCTCTAAACATGATACTTTTCTTATCATTACTTTCAGGGTTATCTTCATTAACATCGGACCCAAGATTAGCGATTAGAAAAAGCGCGTTAGAAGTCCTTTTCAACATCCTAAAAGACCATGGACATCTCTTCTCCCGCTCATTCTGGATAACAGTAATCAACACCGTAGTTTTTCCAGTTTTCAAACCCGTAAATGAAAAAAAAGAAAATCAACAAAACAAGACATGGGATTCGGAAACTTGCTCTGTAGCAACTCGATGTTTAATCGATTTATTCATAAACTTTTTCCCGATAATGCGTGGGGCCCATTTATCCTCGGTTATATCGCTACTAGCAGGATTCTTGAAAACCCCGGGTCAAGGTTCTGCTAGCACCGGAGTAACCGGGTTAATGAGACTCGTGGGTGAGTTGGGTGGGTTGTTGACTGAAGACGAATGGGCTTCTATTTTTCTTGCTTTGAAAGACACTTCGGGTTCCATGTTACCCGGTTTTTTCAAACTTGTTAGGGTTATGGATCGAATTGAGATGCCACCAAATGTTGGCCAAATCTACGATGATGCTGAGATGCTCAATGGAAATGGAGATGGAAATGGTTCTAATTCAATTCAAGATTATGAAGATGATAACTTGCAAACTGCGGGATACGTTGTTTCACGAATGAAAACACATATATCAACTCAGCTACTTATCATGCAGGTAGTTATTACTTATTATTAACAAAATAACTACTTATCATGCAGGTAGTTATTACTTATTAGCATTGCACTTTCAAAAATATTCTTATTATTAACAAAATAACAAAAAAATAACAGGTGACAACGGATCTCTACAACATGCACCAACATTTACTAAAAGCATCAAGTGTGAAAATCGTGTTGGAAATCTTCTTACAAACCGTATCCCATTCCCAACAACTATCCTCCGAAACAAATCTCCACAAAAAGCTCCAAAAAGCATGCTCCATTCTCGAACTATCCGACCCGCCCGTGATCCATTTTGAAAACGAATCGTACCAAAACATGCTCAACCTCCTCCACCACTTACTAGCAACCGACCCGGATCTATCTTCTGAAATGGAGATCGAACCTCAGTTGTTTTCAACGTGTGAACAAATCATAAAAATATACTTAAACTGTTCTAAATTAGAAAAACAACAAGAACATGTTCATTGGATACTTCCGTTGAATTCAGCAGTGAAGGAAGAGTTAGGTGCGAGAACAGGGTTGCTTGTGTCGGCTTTGAGGGTTTTGAGTGAAGTGGATAATGATATTTTTAGAAAGTATGCGGCTCGGGTTTTTCCATTGATGGTGGAGTTAGTGAGGTGTGAGCATAGCTCGCGTGAAGTACAGATGGTTTTGAGTGAGTTGTTTCAGAGATGTATAGGCCCGATAATAATAATGAAATCCTGACATTTTTTTTTTTTTTTTTTTTTTTCTGTAATTATATATATTATACTTGAAAAAATATATATGTATTTGTAGGGTAGTGGTGTAGTTTTGGTTATGACATGGTTTGTTTATCTTGTGCTCCATTTTTGGGATTGTAGTGTGAGTGTTGTATTTGTATTTGTATTGTAGGGTATGGTATGGTATGGCATGTGCTCATTCTTTTCATTCATCAATACAAACGGCTTGCTAATGGTAAATTTGTGAGGTAGTTGTGTTATTGATAGCTAATGTGTGAAGAGAATATCATTATTGGTCCACTTGACGTTGATTCTATAATCACAAGAAAAAAAAATCGAAAAATTGCTGACATAATTGAAAAACATTTTGTACCTGAAGAATAATAGATAGTTGAAAGTTGAAAAACTAGTTTCTTACTAATAAAAAATGATGTTTTATTAGTCAGAGATACAAAAAAAACTAAACCAAAAATTTTATTGTGCTTTTCATGTTAATAATTATTTTTAAAAAACTAACTAATAAAAAAATGATGTTTTATTAGTTAGAGATAAAAAAAGAACTAAACCAAAATTTTTATCGTGCTTTTCATGTTAATAATTATTTTAAAAAAACTAGTTTATAAGCTAATTTTGATATACCAAATGTATCCTTGCTTAAAATTAAAGTCTTTTAAAAGAAAACATCACTTACCAAAAAAATTAAGAAAACCCTTAATGTTTTCAAGATTCCCAATTATCTATGAGGTGTAAGTTCTAACTTGCTTTCCTTACAAATAATAATTTTGACTATTGTTCGATTCTTCCTTAAGATGAAACAATATATTACTTCTTCATTAATCGAGTTGCTAAATATTTTGCAACTTTATATTTGCCACTCATTCTATTTTGATAATAACCAGGGCCGTTCCAAATATATTTTGGGCCCAGGGTGAGAGCAAAAAATGGGCACTTAAAATACACGAATTTCATCAAGTTTTTTACAATAACTCAATAATTGTAAGAAAATTATTTGTACTATCTTGTAAATATAAAAATTTTCCATAAAAAATTTGGACCCCTTTAAAAGATGAGCACTGGACGGTCGCCTCTATCGCCCACCCTTTGGGACGGGCCTGATTATAACATATACTTATGTGCTACTTACTCAGATCCTTAGGTATATCAGACACGAGAGGGCTTCGTGGCCAGGTAGCAAGGCCACCACGACTGTACACATCGTCACCCTTTCCTTGTTGTGCAATGATAATGATGGATCGTTGTATGTGGCACAATGGACCACGGCTAATGTAAGACTGCTATCCTATTGCATCTTTCTTCTTCTCCTTGTTCATCTCTTCTTTGTATAGAAGACAACAATGGTTGCTCATGTTGCACGCACCATTGTTTGTGTGGAAGGAGAAGGTGGTGAAGTTTTCAAGAGATTGTGCTGAGGTAGAGGGATGTGGTGAGGTGAGTAACCGAGTATAACTCATGATCTTAGGGTTGTAACCGGTGAGATAAAATCTAAACGATTAAAGTAAGAATTTTCAAACATCGGGCTCACAATTTAACATGTCAAAAATATTAATAGTGCCTAAATATCTTGACACGCCCGAATAATGTGATTTTCACGATGGTCAATGTTTACCTATTTCATATCAATAATGAAGTTTTTAGACCATTTAGGAGTTGCTAAGAGAATATATATTTTTAGTTGAAGAAACTAGTGTAAATCGTTGAAACTTTATGAACTAAATAATATGTAAAAAAGGTTCAATACTTCAGTTTCCAAAAAATAAAACATATATTTTGTTTCTTCTTTCCTTTTGGGAAAACAAGAAAGTGAAAAATTTAAAGCCAAAATAGATCCTAAAGCTACGAACCTCAAGAGTAAAAACGCAGGAGGAGCAGAAAGCCAGAAACAAGGAAGAAAGAGGAGGAGGAGATCCGCAACCACCGATTCCAAATGCGATTCCACTCTTCGTTTCCCCTCTCATATTGATAGACCTGCTTGTTAATAGCAATACTCAATACTAATCGAACGTTCTCTTTCATCTAATCATATTATAAGAAACCCTAATACTGGAACAAAGCTCTCCGATTCTTCCTTGTTATTGTTCAATCCCAGCTTTTTCTATACATGTATTTATAATAGTCAGGCACATGAAGCTGTTCAATGCAGCGTATCAATGATGGTGGTAAGTTATTCCCTTGTTCGCTCCTCCAACTTGATCCTCTCATGGAACCTTGGTTTATGTCATGACTTTTATTGTTTATGCTTTGACATAGACTACAAATTCTCATTCGAAGACCTCAATTCCTACTGAAATACTTATATTACGTCATTCAAGCTTCATCCGTTTCGAATTGGACCTGGATTGGAATTGGACATGGAAAACGAGGTGATCGAATTCGACATAGGACTAGGAGGCGGTGGAGATGATTCAGTAGCAATTATCGACGATGAAGAGATGACTGATGATTCTCCCACCGCCGCCATGGTCGGAACCAGCAGTGGGAGTCTCTTCTTCGATACTTCAACTTACGGTCCTCAACGCGACCTGGATCTCGAGCCTTTTGAGGGGATGGAATTCGAATCTGAAGAAGCTGCCAAGGGTTTCTATAACTCATATGCTCGTCGTGTAGGGTTCAGCACCCGTGTTAGCTCCTCCCGTAGGTCCAGGAAAGATGGAGCCATCATACAGAGATCCTTTGTCTGTGCAAAAGAAGGATTTCGCAACCTAAATGAGAAACGAACCAAAGATAGAGAGATTAAACGACCTAGAACTGTCACCAGAGTAGGTTGCAAAGCATCAATGTCTGTGAAGATTCAGGATTCAGGGAAATGGATTGTGTCAACGTTTGTGAAAGAGCATAACCATGAATTAGTTCCACCGGACCAAGTCCACTGCCTGAGATCCCATCGCCAAATCTCTGGTCCTGCTAAAACTCTGATTGATACTCTTCAGGCTGCTGGAATGGGTCCCAGGAGAATCATGTCAGCCTTGATCAAAGAGTATGGTGGCATCAGTAAAGTCGGATTCACAGAGGTAGATTGTAGAAACTACATGAGGAACAACAGGCAAAGAAGTTTAGAAGGAGACATACAGCTTCTCCTTGATTATCTCAAGCAAATGCAAGCAGAAAATCCATCATTCTTCTATGCTGTCCAGGGGGATGAAGAACAGTTAACAGGTAATCTCTTCTGGGCTGACACAAAAGCAAGATCCAACTACACTCACTTTGGGGATACAGTCACATTTGACACCACCTACAGATCAAACAGGTATCGTTTACCCTTTGCACCTTTCACTGGAATCAATCATCATGGTCAACCCGTGTTATTCGGCTGTGCTTTTCTCATAAACGAATCCGAATCCTCATTCGTTTGGCTTTTCAAAACATGGGTTTCAGCCATGTCCTCCCGCCTCCCAGTATCAATCACCACAGATCATGATACAGTCATTCGATCAGCCATCATGCAAGTTTTTCCCGACACTCGTCACCGTTTCTGCAAATGGCACATCTTCAAGAAATGCCAGGAAAAGTTATCTCACGTGTTCCTCAAATACCCAAATTTCGAAGCGGATTTCCATAAATCCGTGAATTTAACAGATTCAGTTGATGAATTTGAAGCTTGTTGGTTGTCACTTGTTGATAAATATGATCTTAGTGATCACGATTGGCTTCAAGCAATCTACACCTCACGTAAACAATGGGTTCCTGTCTATTTACGTGACACTTTCTTTGCAGAAATGTCTATAACCCAAAGAAGTGATAGCATGAATTCTTATTTTGATGGGTATATAAACGCATCAACAACTCTAAATCAATTCATAAAGTTATACGAAAAAGCATTGGAAAGCCGAAATGAGAAGGAAGTGAAAGCAGATTATGACACAATGAACTCCCTCCCTCTTTTAAGAACTCCATCTCCCATGGAAAAACAAGCATCCGAACTCTACACAAGAAAAATCTTCATGAGATTTCAAGAGGAATTAATCGGGACACTTACTTTAATGGCATCCAAAGTAGAAGACAACGGTGAGGTGACAACATATCAAGTTTCAAAATTTGGTGAAGACAACAAATCTTACAGTGTCAACTTCAATGTTCTTGAAATGAGAGCTACTTGTAGTTGCTGTATGTTTGAATTTTCGGGTCTTTTATGCAGACATGTTTTGGCTGTTTTTAGAGTGACAAATGTTCTTACACTTCCTTCATGTTATATTTTGAAAAGATGGACAATAAATGCAAAGAGTAGTGTGATACTTGAAGAAAGAGGTAATGATGCGTTTTCTGGTTATTTGGAGTCACATACTGTGAGGTATAATACCCTTCGGCATGAAGCTTTTAAATTTGTGGAAGAAGGGGCTGAATCTGTTGATACATATAATGTGGCCATGGTTGCTTTGGAAGAGGCTGCAAGGAAAGTTGCCATGTCAGCAAAAAATGAAGGAACAGGTTTTATGGTTAATGGGCGTATCAGGGAAGATTCTAGAAGCAATGGGACACTGACAAAAATGGATATTGGTAATCATTGTGGACATTTGGATCAGAATTTATCAGAGGTTAGTTTCTTTATATATAGCTTTATATGGATTTTCGTTTTGTTTGAACTAAAATCTTTATTTTGCATTTAATTTCTGCTGGATATTAAAGAGGACAGATGGTATTGAGATAAATAAGTTATGATTGTTTGTTGTGTAGGATGAGATGGATAGGAAGATTGAAGAACTTAAGCAAGAGGTGGATTCAGGTAGGAGAAAGTGTGAAGTTTATAGGAGCAACTTGGTTTCAGTTTTGAGAGACATTGAAGACCATAAACAACAGCTATCACTTAAAGTCCAGATCATAAAGTATAGTATGAAAGATTGCTTGTAAGTAAACAAAACAAAGTAAAGTTTCTTCTTTTTCTCTTATTATAGCGATAGCTGTAGCTGTTTTCTTGGCTGAAAGAGTATTCTTTGATGATGCCCAATTGCCCATGCCCAACATATATGTATAGTTTCCTTATCATTATTATTATTATTCCATCCATTTTCAGCCTTCCCATCTTTTGTTTTGTTTTGTTATGCAATATGTGACACTTGAGATAATAAGCATGGAAGAAAATGAGATGGGAAGTGATTTTAATCGTTTACCATATCCATCATCCATCTCTTGGGATATCAAACAATATTTCACAATACCTTTCAAACTCCTTTGTGATTCCTGTGACAAATTAAGGCTATTCATACATATGCATTTAACTTTTTAAATCAAAACATATGTCATCACTCATCATGTTACAATTTGGATTTTATCAATCAACTCATTACTCCCACTAAGATAGAAATCTCATTCCTATGATATGCATATGTCCGTAGTGTATAACCTGAGAGAGAAGATTTGGTATGATGATCTGCAGCATTTTCTTCCATGGGGGTTTCACACACGCTCTATTTTATTTATAAAAATAAATATATGTTTTGTATTTGAATAATTAGTGTAATATATGAAGTAAATAAAATAAACGAGCTAAAAATACGGTAAATAAAAATAAATATTAGTGTAATATAGCATAATAGATCAAGAAACCAAGCAAGGATGTTAACGGGGGCAAACGGGATAGGGATTGTAAATTGTAATGCGTGTGTGTCTATATATATATATATATATATATATATATATATATATATATACGGGTTGGCGGGTTGACCCGTGAACCCAAAAAGATAACCCAACCCAACCCATGAAATAAACGGGTTGGTGGGTCAAAAATCTCAACTCAAACCCGTATATTTTCGGGTTGGATCAGTGTCGGGTTACGGATTGTGTCGAGAGTTGCCACCCCTAATCGGAAGTATTTAATTATTTATCATTGTAATCTTATTTATTTCAAAATGTTATTTTAAAAATGTTTAATATTTTACATCGTTGTATTTGATTTTTTTTAATCAATCCGTGTAATACACGGATCTCACACCTAGTGTATTTATTCATTGAAAACTGTTTCATGATTTTATCTATATACATACTTTAACCGAGTCCAATTAGTCATTTTGACCTATTTCTATGTATCTTAATTTTGATGCCTAATATATATATATATATATATATATATATATATATATATATATATATATATATATATATATATATGAAATTCTCCTACATATTTCGTAGAGAAACATCTTCCTAGACAATACTTGACTTTCTGCAAGGGTGTGATGTTTTTTTTTCCCACATACATTATAAGGGAATACAATGAACTTCTTGTATCCAAATGGCTTATCTTCATTTTTGTGAAACCCAAACTCTTTTCTTTTCACCAAATAGAAGCTTCCAACTCTAAGAAGCTTGCTTAAATCCTTAAATGTATTTTTAAAGCTTATATATCTTGTTAGGATTCTTTGGAGATATGTCAAAAAAAATAATCATTACATATCCTCTAATTAGTTCCCATTAAGTAAGACTGACATCCATTTGTCATATTCATAGTCAGATATGTCAAATAAAAACCTTACCGACTTTAACATAGCAACAAGTGAAATTTTTTCTTCATGGTCAATACCACTGAGCCTTTATAAATCCCTTGGTTACAAGCCGTTCCTTTCCATTCATCTAAGTTTTCTTATTGAAAACTCATTTGCATCTAAGTCCCATACTTCAATGATTTTTTTTTTTTATTGGCGCACATGAGATAAGCAAGTCATGGTTTTTCATTATCTACATATATGCTCATTTTGTATCGGCTTTTAGTTTAAAGTTTTTAGTAGGAGGTTGTCATGTCATCAAACAATGTAAGAACTTACATGTTTATTGCACAAGAATTTATTTGAAGCTATTAATTGGAATCAAACAGGTGCTTGTGCTACCCAACTATCATATCAAGCAAAATATAAACACTAAACCCTAAACCCCAATCCAATTTTTTCTTTTCACTTTCTTCGGTCTTTTTAGAACCAACAATCTAGTTTCACGTCCCTTGATCCAAAGACGATATTCTTATGGCAAAGAAAAAAAGGCAATTGATGAAAAACAAGATTTCCTTCCGAATTTCTTTATTGCAACAAATATTTCTACTAATATGTGGCTTGATTTTGATGTACATGGGTTTCACTTTTGGTGGAGGTTAAAAAGATCAAAGCAAACATGCTTTTGGCCAAAAAACAGATGAAAGCAACTCATTCTTTTAAGCTTAGCCTTGCATTCTGCACTTTAACTGAGAGCTTCAGCTTCTGTTCCTCCATATCTTTCAAAACAGCCAATAGATTCGCACGATATGCTTCACATTTTTTATTTGTATCCTCCAGCTCAGCACTCAATTCCCGGATTTTCTTTTCCTTCTCACCCTAAAAACACCAAACCACACTTAATGGATATACATGATGACTTAATCTCTTAAGCTACATATACACACAAATAAAAATTGTAACTACAAGAAACAAGTTACTTACTCTAGATTGATACGCCATTTCTTGACTTCCATTACCAAGATCCATCTCTCCATTTAACACCACACCATTGTTCATCATCAAACTTTGTCTCTTTGAAGCAGAAACTTTCTTTGAAGCCACTTGTAAAGCTTCCAATGCCACATTATAAACAGATATAGACTTAGCTCCTTCTTCCACATACTTTATAGCTTCATGCCTTAAACTATTATATCTTGCATTCAAAGAATTACAACAAGAATCATTTGGTAATTCTTGACCATATACTACAATTTCACCACCTCTCTTAGCATCCCTTGTCCACCTCTTCAAAATATACTGAGAAGGAAGTGTAAGGACATTTTTTGCTCTAAAAACCGATAAAACATGTCGACAAATAATGCCTGAAAACTCAAACATATGGCAACTGCAATTAGCTTTCATTTCAAATGAATTAAACCTCACAATATACCCTTTCTGATGTTTCTGTTCTTCCCCAAACTTAGCCACTTGAAATGTTGTGAAAGCTCCGTTATCTTCAAGTTTTGTTGCAGGGTTTGCAAGGGTCTCGACTAGTTCCTCTTGAAATTTCAAAAATGCCCTTCTGGTGTAAAGATTGGCAGCTTGTTTTTCCATGGGAGATGGGGTTTTAAGAAGTGGCATTGTGTTTGTTGTTTCAAAATCTGCTTTTAATTCCATCTCATTCCAATATGATATTGCAGCTTCGTATTGTTTGATTACAGATTGTATTGATGTTGTGGGGTCCATGTAACCATCAAAGAACAAATTTAGGGTTTGTTCGGGGATTTTTGTGTATAATTCTCCAAAAAATGTGTCTTGGAGGTAAACAGGAACCCATTGATGACGTGCATTGTAGATTGATTGAAGCCATTCGTTGTTTATCAGGGAGTATTTTTTAAGAAGAGATTGCCAACAAGATTCAAACTCTTCTACTTTCTCTGTTTCATGAATGCAATTCCCAAAATCTTTATCGAACGAAGGTCGTGTTTGATAAATATGAGAGAGTTTCTGTTGGGTTTCTCTAAATATGCTCCATTTACAGAATCGATGATGGGTTTGGGGCAAAACCTGTGAAACAGCCATCTGAATGTGATGATTGGGTTCGGTTGTGATGGAGACAGGGTGGTTTTCTGACATTGCATGGAGCCAATTTTGGAGTAGCCAAATGTAAGAAGAATCAGATTCATAATGAAGCAATCCACAACCGAATAGAACTGGTTGACCATGGTGATTGAGCCCAGTTATGGAGATCAATGGAACCCTAAACTGATGGGCTACGTATGAAGTGTTTAATCTAACAGTATCACCAAAATAACTGTAATTCATCCTGAACGATGAATCAACCCAAAAGATATTCCGATTAGACTGCTCACCATCGCATTGAATTGCATAGAAGAAACTTGGATTCTCTGTTTGCATTCGCTTCAGATAATCAATAACATGCTGATCACCATCATTCCCAAGGCTCCTCCGTATACTCATCTGTCGATCGCCGGAATCCGGATGCAGGATGAAGCCTGGAATAGAGAAAAACCTTTTTAAGAATTTATTAATTCGACAAAACCCTTTTCTCTTTTTGTTCTCGATCTAATTCCATCTCTCTCTCTCTCTCTCTCTCTCTCTCTCTCTCATATGCAATCTGACTCACTCGGTCCAGAGAAAAACAAAGGAAACAAACACGATACACGGAAAGCATCGTCTCTGGCATCTCCCCCTTTGCTTCTCTCCTGGAAATACAAAGAAGCAGCTATCGGCTTCAACACAACGATGAATGTTTCACAGTAGGGTTTCGGATGAACATATTGTGGAAAATTGAAACCAAAAGGCAACATTGAACACCTTTAACAGAAGTATTATATCAAATAATGAAGTATACGATTTGAGGAATCGAGAAAGAAGTGTAATCACCTCCCGGCTGAGTAGAACGGACGTCTGGTGACTCGAGCAGGAATTCGTCGGCGACACCTATCAGTCGGGATTGGGATTTGGGAGTGACAAATCTCTTGCCCTATTATGGTTAAGTTAACATAAAGTCATAAACCCCAAGCTACCGGCTTTTTGCATATTTGAGTAACAATTTTTATGAGGACGATCAAGAAATGACCAAAATAGAATATCTCTTTTATCTTTGTCATAAAATAGTAATTTTATCCTAAACACTAAAATGATATTTTTCCAAAATTCGTTTGCTTTGTTAAATGGGAGCTGATCCATAAATTAATTTCGAAAAACTGAAGTATTATTCATGAAAAAGTTATTATGTAGTGATAACGACGAAAATTACCATATTATTATGAAAAATTAATATAAATTGTTATTTGTTATTAAAAAGACCATCAATTTCACAATTAGGCATTTTTAGATTTTGGATGATATATATTGATTTTTCTCTCATTTACACCTAAAAACTTGTAATTTGTTTTTTCTTTACCCCTTTAGATATGAAATGTTTGTTATTATCGGATTTTTAATTCAATGACATTTTTATGCAGTTATATTGTATTCTGCTTCAACTTGTGGTATGATTCTTCAATATTTTTTTGTTAGATTTTGTAAATAACGAATTAATTTCTTGATATTTTGGATTTAAGACATCCTTTTGAAAATTTCAAAACCGATATTGGATTTCGGCCATGTTCTTAAAATTTCGATATGCATTTTTTACTTTGTCATCATTAGTTTGAAATCCGACATATGAGCTCCAAATGACTTTTTATTTTTATTTATTTTATTAAAATTTTATATTTATTTGATATAAAGCTAGTCCAATACTAAATTTGTTTAATCGAACATGCAAATTTTGAGATATAGTTGTTATTTGGCTAAATATGAAAATATTGGATCATTCTCTTATATCTTCGGTAACCACATATATCCCTTATATTCCCAGTGATTATACATTTTTTATCAAATAAGTTATTAAATTAATGATGACCGACTGGCCAAGTTCTTTTGTAAATGACTCCACAGCAGGAAAACTTAATTTTTAAGCTATTTCATGCCACCAAATCTCAAATTAATCAATCTAAAAGCTTAAGAAATCTTCACAGAGTTTTTTCACATTAACTTATTTCTGGAACCATAATTTTGATTTGATATAGTTTTATTGTTTATATACGTTATTAAATTAATGTTATAGTTTCACAATAACATATAATTTAAAAGTACTTATAGACAATAATATTAGGTTATTAGGGAAAATCAATATATTTCTAATGTCGATCAAAATCAACTAGGACAAAATAAAAGCATATATATTTCTAATGTCGATCAAAATCAACTAGGACAAAATAAAAGCATTGGGAACTCTCGTAAATTAATAAACAGTTACAAATATATATTACAGAAATAACTACATTCATTTTTCTGGTTTATTCGGTTCTAATAATAACAATCAAACCAATACAAAAATCCAAATATATAAACCATATAACCCAATTCAAATTATCCAATTGAATAATTTGTTTTTATCCGAATAATAATGAACCTAGGAGATTATGACACCCGTTCCTCCTACTAAACATGTCAACTTAATTATACAAGCATAGCAAATATTCAAGCTCATAATTCATATATAAAACCTGTGAATTCACATTTATCAAAATTTCATAATAAATATTGGAACACATCACCATCACGTCTCTGCTTAATTATCTAAAACAACTTGAGAGTATTCTTATTCCTTTACCACATTTGAAACAATAACAAATGCTATATACACACATACACATTACATACACCAAGATTCCCATATAACTGTAAGGCCACACCTTATCCCTTGATCTCTTAACTTTTCTAATCTAATCTTTGTATATTTTTCAATTTCTAGTTTTTTAAGCATATCTTTGAATTGTCCTCGCAACCCAACTTTTCTTTTTACAATTTCTTTTGGATAAACACGTCAACTTGAATGTTGTATAAAACTACACCCAAACCAATTTCTCTATTAACATCTTTCATTTTCCCCTTGAAGTTTCCTCACATTGGCATGCACCTAAAAATTATATCTGTACACCAAAAAAATTCATTATTGCAAAAAACCAATAGAAGAAATCATAAAATACCACACACAAGTGTAAAGTCAACTTTCTAGGGCTATTTTCGATGATAATTTTTTTTGTCCAATTAACATAGTACAACCTGTCATGTCCTTTAATATCCTTATATCACATTTTTATTGCAACCTTTGTCCCATTATCATGAGTATCAATACTCTACTAGTAAACTATAAAGTATTGTACTATAGCATAGTACTATACTAGTACAATGCTACACGGCTAGTATTACAGTACTAGTAGTACAGTAGTGTACTACTAGTACCGCTAGTATTACAGTATTGTACTATATTAATAGTACAATACTGTAATACTAATACACTACATACCTCTCTCTAAATCAAGTTGTGGGTTTGTTGAGTGTGGAAAACCATACAAGGTGTTCTCTTGTTTCCAAAGCCCTACACCATTTAGAACGACAATTTATATGAATCTTTTACTTTTATTTTTTGACAATAATCACATGAGATGAATTTTTTTGGGAAACCTGCAAGCTAAACTGATAGATTCTCTATCTAAGATTCCAACTGGGAAGGCTTTCTGTTCTTCTGAAATAACTGGCAAGTGAGTTACACCATGCATATTCATAATCACTTCAGCTGAGTATAAACTCATCTTTGGTGTTACAGTTTGTGGGAATCTACACATGTCATTCTTCAGTGAACATACTTCAGACACAATCAGTTCCTGAGGTATTTTGTTAGTTTGTTGTGATAATTTACAAAAGTCTTGTATATCTCCAAGTGTGAGTAAACCTATCAAGAGGTTATCATCATCAACTATGAGAACATAAGATTGGTTATTTCCAAGCATCAAAGCCACTACTTCCATTAACATGGTGCTCATTACCACACTCACATACTCTCTTCTCATGGCTTCCGATACAAGAAGCTCTTTCGTCCCAAACTTATTATTGTTTTCATTCTCTTTCTTTTTTGAAAAATCATTTTCACCATCATCCTTTTTCTTTAAAGACCTTGATGTTATCCATGAAGATAACCCTACAGCTCCCAAAAGTGGCAACACTATTCGATAATCATGTGTAAGCTCAAATAAAAGCAACACTGAAGTAAGTGGCACTTGACACACCCCTGCAAGTGTAGCAGCCATCCCAACCTACAAAAATTTCCCTATTATTATTCTCATCTTTTTGTATATTAATAAAACTATAAAAGTAATGAATATTACAAGGCCATATGCTTGTGGTGATGCAACCTCCATGCCTGATATATGAAAGATTGAGTTAAACTGAGGAATGAAAGAACCGAATATTTTCCCATATGCCATTCCAGTAGCTGCACCAATGAAAAGAGATGGAGCATAATATCCTCCTACTAATCCACATGCTCTGCAAAATGATGTTGCTACTATTTTAACTGCTATTAGTTGTAATAAAAGATCAACTGAAAGACCTTTCACAAAGGGTCGTGTCTCTAAAAGGGTATCAACATTTTCAAATCCCCAATAGAGAATTTCTGGATACAACAAGGCTATGAGCCCAACTGTAAAGCCACCAAGTATTGGGAATACTGGTTTTGGTATGGAGAAGGTGTTTTGAATCTTGTTTGTTGTCATCATCATCCATGATGTGCATGAAGAAAAGCTTAAAGATACAAGCCCACAAAAGATACCTAATAGAAGGTATAATGGAAGTTCTGAAACAAAAAGGTTGAAGAAGATGTTAGAGTTGGGACTTGGGATTACCTAGAAGGGTAAAATTGTAATTTTGAACAAATACCGGTTGCTGAACGGAAATCATAATCTGGAACAGTGAATGCAGGTTCAGATCCAAGGCCGATTTCTGATACTACAGAAGCTATCACAGCACTGAGAATAACTGTTGATGTTGTATTGGTGAGTGATAATGATGACTCAGCAGGTGATGGCCATAACACTGATTCAACAGCGAAAAAGCATCCAGCAACAGCAGCGTTGAACCCTGAAATCAAATCCCACAAATCAACAAGAATACATGTTATTGTGTAAGTGATTAATAGAGAACATGAACATGATCGATATTGGAAATTAGATCTCACAGAAGAAAAGAAAGTAGAATTAACCAGATGAAATTCCAGCAGCTGATCCTGCAGCTTTAAGAGAAAGTTTTCTTTGAGCATTTTTATCAAACAATGAACCGATTCCTTTAGCAACTGATGCGCCAATCTCAACACTTGGACCTTCAGGGCCAAGAGAATTCCCAGTTCCAAGTGTTACAGCAGCTGCTACCCCTTTCAGTATCGGTTTCATAACAGCTTTTAACCTATCTGCTGAATCTCCTTCATCTAAAAAGGTAGTTTGAAAAATGTTCAACAAGCTAACGATTAATCCTCCACAAGTGGGTATCAAGATTACTCGCATCCACATTTTCTCGTTTGGCAACTCTCTTAACCATGAAGCACCTCGAGATGGGATTCCGTCCCAGCAAATATCACGGATTTCGTGCACCTAATACAAATTACTCATTAGCAGATTGTGACATTTTGATGCAAAATTAGAAGAATTACAAGGGGAAATCGCATACCGCGTTGTTGAAGAGAACAACACAGAGGCCAGTGAGGAGACCAACAAAACAGGCGGAGATAATGCCACTGTTTTCTCCTAAAAGGGTAGCTTCTTCCGCCCCCACTCCACCCAAATCTTTCTGACCTCCACGCTCCAATGGCAATTGATCATCCTTAGTGGCTCGAGCCGATTGTATTCTTTGAGGTTTGTCAGCTCTGACGATCCAAAAAATGGATAGAGGACGAGGGTGGAAACATAAAGCATGATGAACATTGCGCTGAAGGCTACCGGCAGCGAGGCGAAAGACTGGGAATGAGAGTGATGATGAAGTGTGATTGTTATACGACGCTTGATGAAGAAGATTACGAGCATTAGCAATTGGAATTACAGTCCGCATAATCCAAAATGCAGGAGAATGTTTGGTTTTTCGTACAACTCTAACTCTCTGCAAACTGCAAACGACCACCACGTCTTTCAGCCTTAACGGATACGATTTCTGTCATCTTATTATATTTAAGTTTTATATAGTAACTAATAGTATTATTTTTTTTTGGAAATTGAGTAATTTAACCATTATAAACAACCATTTAATAAAAATAACTAATATATATATATTTTTTTGAAAATAACAACTTGATCCGAAATACCATATTCCGGAGAACGGAGTTTTGTTCCGGATGTGTGATCTGTAATACGATATTCCGAACAGAGGTGAATCTAGAACCAAAAACCACATGGTTCCTTATACAAATAAAACTAAAATAGTTACGCCTTTTAGCAAAACTAGGTGGATTTTTTTAGCAAAAATGAGATAGGTCCTTCATATTTTCTATATATATTTGTTGTATTAAAAAAAAAGGTAGGTCCTAGGACCTACCTTGTTGAAGCTTAGCTACGCCCCTGATTCCGAAGTATTTATGATATTGTTCCGAAGTGGGTACCGGTTGGTGATGATGAGGTCCGAAATCTGACACTTCATATCTTCCAGATTGAAAAAGTGTATTCCGGACTGAAATCCAGAACGGCCGTACGCTCCAGAGAGCTAGAATTAGGGTTTTTCTACATTTTTCTTCCGAATATGCAATACATTTGTGTGTTCGATACTTTCCATAAACATTCTGGAATAAGTAAGTATACATGTTTCTTTCGAGTTCTAGTTTCTAGTGGAGGGCAATAGCAGCGTATCTTGCTCTGGACATATGCTTTGGTGTAGATATAAACAATGATATCAACTTCGTTAGCATTCCATACTTGCCAGCGTATCTACGTCCCCATCATCGACAAGCCAACAAAAAGGTATTGGATCACTTCTCGAAGGGCATATTAGCTGATAGTACCGATAATATGTTGCGGGAGAAACAGATACAACGAACTTTAAATAGACCGTCTTTGTGTACATATTTCATACCGGCAAGTATGGAATGCTAAAATGTATGCTCTAAATCTATTGAGAGGGACACTTGAAGAAAGCTTTCAAAGACTACCTTTATACTATTACAACTTGGAGAATAAGAATCCAGGGACGGTTACACATATGAAGACGAGTGATGATAACAAATTTGAATACTTTTTCATGGCTATCGGTTGCACGGTAATATATTTTATATACATACTTCTTTATATTTAATGTCCATACACATGCGTTCATTATAATTAGATTATTAATGACTTTTTAGGTTCGAGCGTTTCAAAGATGTTTGCGTCCTATTATTATCATTGACGGCGCACACCTTAAAGCGAAATACTTAGGCACCATGTTCTTAGCAGTAGGCATGGATGGGAATAACCAAATCCTCCCCATTGCATTTGGCGTTGGGAAAACTGAAAGTGAAGAGTCATGGATTTGGTTTTTATCAAGACTAAAAGAATGTATTGGGGACATGCCATCTTAGCTATCATATCAGATAGATCCACTTCAATTGAAATGACCATTCAAGCTGTGTTCCCGAATTCATATCATGGACTCTACTGTCTCCATTTGTAGATGAATATTAGAGCAAAGATCGACAAGCAAGAGAGAACAAAGATTTTGTTTTGGGAGGCTGCAAAGGCTTAGCGAGAATCTGATTTCAAAAAAAGCTTGAGTAGGCTACGTCGTGCACTAAATGATGATGGTTTGACATGGCTAGACAGAATCGGTAATGAGAGATGGGCAAGGTCATGTTTCCATGTGGTTTGGTACAATATTATGACATCAAACAGTTCCGAGTCCGTCAATGCATTACCAAGAGATGCACAGAAACTACTGATAACAATCTTGATCGATTTCTTTCGAGCAACTATGCAACAATGATGGTGCTAGTGACGTAATGTTGGAGGTAAGTGTTTCCCTATATTGCAATACTTCAATTATAATTTTAGTGTAATTTACTATGCATTACAACATATACATAAATGTTTGTTATAACTATAAGCAAAATGGATGTTATTAAGTATGTTGAGAAGGTCATCGACAGGAGGATCAACAAATCTTCTGCTTTTCGGGTATACCGGATTGATCAAAGTAGAAATGAGGTGACTGACCTGTCTGACCAAATGAAAAATGGTATAGTAAACTTGGAAAGTCATTATTGTATGTGTGGAAATGGTAATTGTTGGGTATACCTTATGCCAATATTCAAGGAACTAATATCAACATTGTAGTGCATGGGTGTCGTCATACTTCACAATGGAAACATATCGATCAAAATATGTAGAGATTGTGTTTCCTATGCTAGTTCCAACTGAATACGAAGAACCAAATGAAGTCATGGTTGTTTTGCCACCATTGAAGGACAAATGACAAGCCCGACAACCTAAAAACCATAACCGTTTCCCATCCCAAGGTGAATGTCCGATTAAGAAAAAATGTAGTCGTTGCTAAAGGATCGGTCACACAAACAGAAGCTGTGAAATTTCATTTCCTACAGAGTCAATAAAAATTGAATCTTCAAGTAGGACCAAATCAAGTGGCAAAAGTAACGTTAAGTCTAAGAGTAGACATACTAGTCAAAAAGGTAGCCAACAATATGATACTGTTGATTTAAAGAACATGTAGTGATGTTTGTACGATATCATAATATTCTACAAAATGTTTTTCGAAAGGATAAACTTGTTTTTGCTACATCCTCAAAAGGAAATTGTTTTAAAACCTTGACAAAGAAAACCATAACTCAAACATTAGCATAATATGCAACATTTATCCACTCGACACTCTCAATCCACTACCTAGTAGAACGCTCTTGTGCGGTAGGCTGCAACAACTTGCTACGGGGACATTGCATAAAAAAACAATATATAAAGGTTAATCGTAAGTTATTTATGTCATATCAAATTATAAATTATAAGGTGGTCTAAACTACATACATTAGTAACATCGAGAATACGTTGACAATCAAGTGCATGCAAACGCCTCATCCTAGGTGTGACATCCCCATTTTCACGACCAGAATGACCGATTTGTTTATGCTTTATTTGAAAATTAGAGTATACTTTTGAAGAAATATGTTGCGGAATTTGTTCCCAAAAATATGATAAAAAATTTATCAAATCATTTCCGAAGAAATGTATTTTCATTATATTAAAAACCTCGAAATGTCATTGTCAATACAAATCAAAAAACATAAACAGAAACAACATAAGCCTTACAACATCTATTTATTCTAAAGGCCTATAATCCATTGATCTCTCATCAAACCATCACTCATGTGCTCTTTTGCCACTACATGTATTCAAGAAACTGAGTGGGTCAGGCTTGGGAGCTTGGTAAACACATAGGGTATTAAACCCAAAATAATTAAGTTTTTTAATTTCATCAAATCATTCAACCCAATTACTCATTCTGGTTATCCTCACATTACGTCCCTAAAGCATCTATTATAAGGGACCTAGCCTAAGGATTTTCATCGGGGTGACATGAAACATCCCAAAATACGGACCAAAAGTTTCGTTTTAAATCATTAATAAAATCATAGTTAACAATTCATCACATAAAAATTAGAAGTCATGTATCTTAAAATATCATAAACATATGTCAAACATATCAAAGTAAAAACATCACAGGCTAAACAAATGGTGTGTGCACTGCAGTCATCCCGAGCTCTTCCTCTTGCTATCGGAAGTACAAAAACTGAAAACTATAAGCACAAAGCTTAGTGAGTCTCCCCAAACTACCATATATCATACACATAATCACATAAATTGGTCCCCCACCCCTTCCTCGGGCCCTGCCCAACATCGGACAAAGTCCGGTATCAGGCCCCGCCTAGCATCAAGCCCCACTCGGTATACATATTTGTTTCTCCCAGGCCTCGCCTGTCACTGGGCCCTGCCTGCTATACACATACAAAAAATAACATATAATCATGCTAGCACAGAAGGAATCATACATAATACTATATATTCCAATCCTAAGGCGTCGCCTATCATGGGCCCCTCCACTACTCTACTAATGATGAGATATGAAACCCTGTCCACTCTAACTAGTGATGAGATACGGGACCCCGCCCACACTTGTCTCCCCACCAGACACATACAAGTATAACTAAACATGCATTCCTTCATTGGGTACCACCCGACATCAAACCGTAGTTCAGAAACATACATATAAACATTCCTCGGGCTTTTCCTGGCATCAGACCGAAATTTGGAAGCATATAAAACAAGCACATGCAAAAATCACGAAGACATCAAACATACAAACATTCCTCGGGCACCGCCTGACATCAGATTGGAATCCGGAAACATAATAACTTACATTGGCATTGCCCGACATCAGACCTTAGTTTGGAACATAATAACATACATAAACGAGCCGACATTGGTGCCTTCGACCCATTCCTACAGGAGAAAACTCACCTCACAAAGCTGAATGCAGAATCCCAGGGATAAACCTCTGGCTGTTAGCTGGCAGATCCCCAAACTGCTGATCTCTCGACTCCCCAAGCTATTGATAATCATACAAATTAGATAAGTTCGGGATTCTCATAACTTAACCATTAGTCCTCACTGGGGTAAAAGACCATTCCACCCCTCACATACTCTTGTCTCAAAATGAAATCTACCCAAAACTTGGCCCAAAAGATAAACACTTCCATAAGGCCGAATAATCCTTCTTAGGGTAAAATTACCATTTTACCCCTAATCTAATTTAGTCCATCCCTAAGGCCCAAAACGATAACATGACAGGCCCAATACTAGGTAGACTTCTCAAGCCCACTAATGGCCAACTAATGGCCCAATATTCTAAATTGGGCCCAACTAAATATGGGCCTTACTCAAAAGCCCCATGGTTCTTATCCAATAATAATAATTTTCTAATGGCTCAAATGACCAAGCCTATTGGGCCCACTAAAGCCCAACTGCCAACTGGGTCCTCTAAGGTCTAAATTCTAAACTGGGCCCACAAAGGCCCAACCCCAACTCCTGAGGCCCAACTGGGAAATTTAATCAGATTAGTCCACTCATGGACCAAAATAGAAAGGCCAAACCCCAAACCAAGTTCGAGA